TGTGTGTGTGTGTGTGTGTGTGTGTGTGTGTGTGTGTGTGTGTGTGTGTGTGTGTGTGTTTGTGAAGTGAGAACCTTTTCATTGTGTGTGATAGTGCGTCAACGATTGGCTTCTTTCCCTTTTTTTTCCGTCCAGACCCCCCCTACTCGCGCAGAAAACGCATCTGAGGGGGTCTAATTTAAAAAAAATTTCTGGGGGAAGGCCACCCAGACCCCCCCTTCGCGTGCTCGCTACTCGTGTCCCCCCCCCACATTTCAAAATGGATTTGCGCGCCTGGTATCCTATGATCAGCACTGGACATACATTGAAATTTCGACCGAAAATCACCTCCCAACCCTAACAGTAACAGTATCCTTAATCCTCCGCCGATAGAGGGGGTAATTCCAAAAACATGGCCGCCCGCTGTTGGCAGTAGTTGAGTAATGTCAATTTTTCCATATTCAAAACTTATATATTGAGTTAGGGAGATAATATTACTATGATAAATTATCATAATTAGGTATAAACGTTTTCGATTTATTGTGATATGTCGATTAAAGTATTAATATTCATAACAAGCCCTCTCACGGCTGTGTTTACCAATATAATGAATATATATGCCCATGATTATAATTATTAATAATAATATTATTAATATTAATATCATATGTAGCTCCAACTCCAAGAAACGGTCTTGCTAGGGTTAGAAGACCGTTTCAAACATTGGCGGCAGCTAAACACGTAGTTGTCTTATTTGCCAAGTATCGCCAAAGAACACTTCACATGCGATCACTGATCAGGAGTCTATCAATATTGATAGACTCCTGATGTGATATATAATACCAAATGAATCAGAATACATCCACCTTCTTGTAACCATCAGTGCGCTACGATGCGCTGGATACTTACGGGGTTACAGCGACTTTTTGAGACTAATGCAACCAAAATCATGAATTCGCCACCATGTTGTATCATTCCGACTGTGACTAAAATCCGCAACAGATCAAACAAGGGCAATTAAACGATCTGCGGTCCTCATGTAAACCACCCCTACATCCGAGAACATGTCATCTAAGGTTTTTACAAATGGCCCAGACATTTGTGAACATTGTTCCACTTGCTTTGGTGTATAATTTCTGTGAGAGCCATCGTGCAACTATTGTACTAATTTTATAGTATTTTCTAGCGAGTCTTTTCCGTTTCGGGTTTTCCGTGTCGCTCTTCCGTTGAGCATGTGCAGTGTAAACATGGCGGGTAAACAATCGTGGAAAGCACATGCACTTGGAGCGTTTCAATAAAATATAATGCTAAATAATACAGAAATCTATTTACTACCGAAACGTCTTTAATGTTTCTAATACTCTCTTTACCTATTATTGGCCCGCAGCAATTTTCTGTAAATGCCCGTCAAATGCTCCATCGCAACAAACGCACATGGCCCGCCAGCGCGCTGACAACACTGACACATAAATATAGTAGTGTGTGCATATAAATATATATTCAAACTATATAATATGTGTGCAGTGTCAGCAAGCAGCCCAGCATTGATTGCAGATAAGCATTTGAACGAAGATTTACAGAAAAATTGTCCGGCAAATAATAGGTGAAACGAAGAGTAAATAGAAAATTAAGACTTTGCTAGTAAATAGATTTCGTATTTATTTAGCATTATATTTTATTGAAACGCTCCAAGTGCCTGTGGTGGAAAGCTGCTTGGAAAGTTGATATGCTGTGAGAATAAGCAGATTATACCATGAATTAGGAGATACATTCTAGTTTAGAAGCAGGACAACTGTGAGTTAATGTTCATATTTCAAACAAGGCAAGTCAGTGCTCAAAATAAGCGTTGTCCGGTTGTCCGAGACAACCAGAATTTGCGCCGGACAACCTAACCAGTCTGAGACATTGTCCGGTGGACAACCAAGAAACCCTATCGCTATCCCTAAAGCTGGGGGCACACGAGCGTGTTTTATCGCCCGATCGCGGCGATTAAAATCGCCAGCGAATTTGATCGCTCGATCACGAAGGGGCACACGTAGCGAATTTGAGAGCCATCTAACATTTTTGATACGGGCGATTCGTACGGGCGATTAAAATCGGCGTCGACGTGAACGGGCACACGGGCGAATTTTTTGAGCGATTTTAAAATTCGCCGCAATCGGGCGATAAAAATCGCTCGTGTGCCCCTACCCTAACCCTAACACTAACTCTAAACCGACTTGGCTATCTTATATACGCGTGGTACCCAGTTAATCTATGGTGTATAGCCTTTTGCTTTCAATATTTTGCATCTGAACTGACAATTAATCCCAACCAACTGGTGTAGGCTAGCTGGCACAATAATGTTCATGCAGTTTCATACTTCAAATCCGAGTGTTTTCTAGCTCATCAAGAAATCTTAATCGTGAATTAAATTGTGAATAACATAAAAATATGGGACCAGCTGCTATTTCCAACACTGGTATATGTCAGGTTTTCTGATTTGTGAGAGGTGAACTCGATTTGGAACTAGCAAACCAGCAAGTTTCCAAAATTTGCTGGGGGAGGACCCCCATACCCCCCCCGCCTGTTTTTTACTCCCTCCTTGGAATCCTAGACCCGGCACTGAACAATTACATATCTTGGGAGCAGAAAACAATGAACAAAAATGTCGCCTTTTCGCATGGCGCCCAAAACAAAGATTGCAGAGCTGAGAGGTAGAGGAGTCGTAAGGTGTGGAGAGGGAGGCGGAGGAGCCAGTAAAATATTAAGTCATCCAGTATTTTGCGCAGTTTGCTGTTTTTGGCCCCCTTGTTAGAAAATCCTGGCTACGCCATTGTTTTCGGGTGTTTTCTGATCATATTATTGTGATTGAAAATAGGAGATTTGGGGATATTTTTTGGGACAACCAGAAATTGTTGCGGACAACCCAATTTGATGCCTGGACAACCAAATTTTTTTTCTTATTTCGAGCACTGCAAGTCAAAGGTGGTAATAGAATAGTTTTATTTGAGATATACAGAGTTATTCATCTAGATCTGCAGAGGTGATAGGTTTTTTGTATGGAAGGGTGTC